TTGCCACCCTACCTGTGACATTATGTATCATTCGCCCATATTAGGCCCAATATGTGGCGCTATATTATTTCTAAAGCATGTACTTGCGTGGTCACTCACATCCGTGGCAGCTGCAGTGTGTCTGGAATAAATCCTGTGTTGAGTTATATATTATAGCGTCAGCTCTACGACTTTACTTCTAGAAATACACAGTATTTTGTGGCGACGAGGATGGGATTGGATGGTGTGTCTAGCCACCAGTCAACGCTGAAGTTGGAGGTTTAATAGCTACAACGAGCCAGTAACTTCCACAGAGTCTGAGAGTCCAAGCACTGAGTTTGCGTGACGTACTGGGAAAGATGACAGATACAGCAAAACTGCTCGAGCTACTGTAGCACCAGCAGGGCTTACAACAGGTGCAACAACAGCAGTTTCAGCAGCACTACAGCAGCAGCAGGAAGGCATAAACAACAGCAGCAGGAAAGGCATGAACAACAGCTAGCGCACAGCGACAGCAAATGGAGGCGCGGATTACAACAATTACCAAGCCAGGTTCTATGACAACACTGCAACTTAGTATCCCTAGCTTACAGCATTTGGGCAACTTCGGAGCTATGGGCGGATTACTGGAGCGCGTTTCTTCACGTATACGGGAGGCAAACCTCTATACCAGAGGAAAAGCTGCCACAGGTTTTTCTAACAAACCAGTCGACGGTGACATACAAGCTGCTCTGCAACCTCGCTGCTCAGCAAACGCCGCCGAAGAACATCATTCAATGAAATCACCATGGCTGAGATCACCGAACTCATGAAGAATCAGTTCGACCCCAAACTCTTTGTCGTTCGGGAGCGATTTAAATTCTGGTCGGAGATGCGGTGGAAACCAAGAGAAAATTGAAGAGCTGGCAGCACACATCAGTCAAGATGCAGTTACATGCAACTTTGCTTCCATTAAAGACCCCTTAGACGAGGCCATGCGCACACGCTTCATCTGTTCAGTGAACAATGAGGCCGTCTTGAAAGCGTTGTTTAAAATCAAGGATGACGAATTGTCGTACGCTCGAGCAATCCAGGTCGCCATGGAGACTGAAGATGCGGCAAAGGTAGCCAAGGAAACCGTGCATGGGATTCAGCCAAGGCTGGTGAATAAGCTGCAGCATGAGCCACGCTCTTCACCACCTGTGTCAAGTGGAGGGCACTCGACTAACCATGGACCCAGATACACCAGGGCGTTTCCACAGGTGGTCTGTGTGCGTTGTGGCAGGTCTAACCAAATTAGCAAAGTATGCCCATACCTTACCGCAACCTGCCATTTCTGTCAACGGAAAGGGCACCTTCAGTCCGTCTGTCTGCAGAAGAAGAGAGGCAACAAGCCAGCAATAAAGACAATTTACAAGCAGAGACTCCAGACGGTGAAACGGCAGGGAGAAATCCCTGAGCTCCTGCAACCCATCTCTCTGAACGGAAAGAAGTTCGATTTTGAGATCGACACTGGTGCGGGAGACAACTTTTGCTCGGGGGACGTCTGGGTAAAGCTGGGGAAGCCATGCCTACAGCAGCCAACAAGCCAATAGAAGGGAGCTACAGGAAATCAGCTGATGGTCATGAGCACGTTTACAGCAAATGCCAAGCTGGACCACCAAGGAAACTCCGAAGCGTGGAACATAGAGTTCACGGTGACGAAGTTGGGTCAACCTGTTGGGTCGTAGCGCCATACACGAAATCGGAATAGACATTAGTTTTTTTTCATCGCCACTCTTCAACCGATGGTACCGTGCATGCCATATCAAACGATCTGCATCCAGATCGGTTGTTACAGACAGCCTGCCAGCAGGTTTGTGATGAGCATCCGGAGGTATTCAAGCGGGATGCGAGGCCCGTATTCTGCAGGCTGCGGCCAGTCCCGTACGCAATTCAAGAGGATCTCACACAAGCATATGATGCCGGCATCAGGTGGGGTGTGTGGAAGACCGCACAATTCAATGATAGTGGCACACCCGTCGTTCCGATCAGGAAGGTGGGGCCACCTGGCGAGCAGAACCCGAAGCTACGAGTCTGTGGGACTACTCTGTTACGGTAATCCCACAATTAGATACCCACCGACACCCTATGCCTCTCCCCGAGGATCTCATGAGGAAACTGGGTGGAGGACACGGTTTCACTAAACTCGACCTGGTGGATGCTTACAACCAGATAAAGCTCGCTCCTGAAAGCCAGAAAAGGCTAGCCATCAGTACACACCGAGGCGTACTGCTCCAACTTCAGCTGCCGTTCGGCATCAGTTCGGCACCAGGTTATTTCCAAGAGATCATGGAACAGCTCACCAGTGATCTACAGGGAGTGGCAGTCTACCTAGACGACTTTCTTGTCAGCGGTGCCAATGCTCAGGAGCATCTCCAAAATCTACCCTATTGCTTCAACGCAAAGAGAAAGGGCTACGATGTCGCATGGAGAAGTGCTCATTCGCTCGACCCGCAGTTGAGTACCTGGGCCACAAGCTTTTCCAAAAGGGGATTGAGAAGGGGGCTAAGGTCAACGCGACTATCAAGATGCCGCCACCAGAAAACGTTTCCGGCCTGCGTTCATTCTTGGGTTCTGTGCAGTTCTATGGCAAGTTTCTCCCCAACTTAGCCACTCTCACCGACCCTCTCTACCGACTGACCAAGAAGGACATACCATGGAACTTGGGCAGTAGCGAGCAAGCGACTTTTCAGCAGCTGAAACAGGTGCTTTGCACGAATTCAGTGTTGGTGCATTTTGACCCATCCCGGCCGATTGGGGTGTCATGCGATGCATCAAAAGTTGGCATTGGAACAGCAGTGGTTGTTTCACGCGCGCTATCGTGACGGCAGTGCAGGCGCCCGGATCGCTTAACGTATCATCAAGACGCTGACAGATACACAGCCACGCTAATAGATAAGTTCAGAAGGCAAGGCACTATCCTGTCATTTTCCGCGCTAAAGAAGTTTCACAGTTTCTGTATACGGTCGAAATTTTTGATTTTGGTTACAGACGCATAAGCGTGGCTTAAGCGCTGTTCGGGCCAACAACAGAGACGCCAATGCTGGTGGCCAAAGAGTTGGCTCGGAGCTGCGCTTAGCCAGTACGACTAACTCAATAGCATATAGAAAGACGTCGGACGCACGGGACGGTTGCCCGACTGCGCGCAAGTCGCATGCCAGTGACCTGACGTCATCTTTGATGGGAAGAACTGAGGCAGATGTTGCACTGTCTGCCATAGTTAAAACGGTGAGCTACAGCAACAGCACAGCCAAACGGACCTGGTGTCGTGCGAAAGGCAATCAGGCAAGAACTGTGATTGCAACGGTGATGCGTCATACCCCTGTGGGATGCCAACCGAGGATCACGTCGATGTGAGAGAGCATGATTTAGTGCTATTCAGTCAGAGACCTTCAGGAAGCTGGCGGATTCACTGTCGACAGCCCCATGGAGTGTTTGCTATTTATGGCTTTCTAAAGTGTCATTCCTGCAAGTCTGCATGCAGCAAGTGTCTTCAACTTGCTGTCATTTGGACACTCTTCGGGATACAGCAGATAAAGCAGCTTGCACGCACAGCGATATTGGGCTCTAGGGAGTCGACACTGGACATTGCAGAGCTGATGTCACCAACTGCAACTGCCCTGCGCAGACACAGAATAATACCAGCAAAGCCGGCCATCATCCGTGGATGCTGTAGAGAAACCCTGGGTTCAGAATACACCTGGACCATGGCATAAAATTTCTAGGAACCCTGGCTGGTAATGATCGATGCCTACTCTAAATACCCATGTATACACGCAACAAACTCTACATCGACAAAGGCAACCATTGACCTCCCAGGTAGCATGCAACTTCGGCCCAATATCGGCTGATGGTCGGCAAAGGTCGGCCACCTCGGCCAATGTTGGGCCGATATGGGGCCCATGTTGGCAAGTTGTTCATGCGCATGCAATTATTTTACGCCAAAGTGTCAGTATCGGGCCCGACATCGGCCGAGATTGGCCAAATATACGTGCCCGCACAAATAACTACAAAATCCTTTTTTTAAATTTTCTTTTGATAGAATATTTCTTTTGAGAATTAATGTGGATTTTTAAAAAGTAGACTATGAATGACTCGTATATTTCAAATTGATCCTGATTTAAAATTGGTCAGTGCGGATCTATAAACCGTTTTGTGCTGCCGCCATTTTCGAAAAGATTGTTTCATAATTTTGTGCTCAGATTCCTGATTTTTCTATAACTTCAGGTAATAATTTCCTATTCCTGTTTTGATAATCGACATTATCAAACAACACCGCGCTTACAAAAATAATCTATAGGTTCCTATAGGAGTTTATAGGCACCATATAGTGCTTCTATAGGTGGCTCTTAGGTTTTGACAAGCTATACACTATTAGCTTAACCTATAGGTTCTTCAGTTGCCAATAGAGCCTAATAGGTTAAGCCTATTCTCTATAGTTTTGCAACCTATACACCTATAGGTTTATAGACCTATAGGTGCTCTTATAGGTTTTGCCAAACCTAATAACCTATAGGATTAGACTATAGGTGCTCTATAGGTATTTGGCAACCTCTATACACCTATTAGGGCGTAATAAACTATAGGTGACTCTATAGGTTTTGCCAACTTATACACCTATAGGATTATAGACCTATAGATTCCTATAGACCAGTATTGGGTTATAGACCTATAGGGATTCCTATAGACGCGGGTACATGCAGCTATAGACCAACAGACCAAATATACATATATATATATATCTAACCCTAGCAATACCGTTTCTTGGAGCTAGCTTAAGTATAGAGCTATAAGTAACCTCGGGTACATATATCTGTACTGTAGTACCTGTTACGACAACGACCCCTTGAGCAATATTAACCAAGGGCATGCATGCAAGACTGGCAGAGGTATATAGATCTATATATCATATAATATAATAGTTAGGATTATAGGAGATCACGTACGACTAGCTCTAGTAACTAGCGGCCCATTCCCCCCCCCTACAACTCCAGGTTTAAACCCTAACCTAACCCTAACCCTAACCCGGCCTGCGAGTTTTTTTTCCCCAGTCGACATACATAGCGAAGAATTTAGCGCCTTCTGATTGGCTGCTTTCGATTTGCTTTTGCCTTGACAAGAGAACAAACGCCCATTTGTAACATAGCGAAGAATTGCAATTATTGGCTTTTACGTCATCACTTTCAAAGAATCATGGCTGCACCCACGAGATGCCGTTGTGAATTTGGTGATCCAAATCGAGATTTAAGTCAAGATTTAGCTATTGAAACATTTCCTGAACTTCATGTAAGTATCCGTGCAGTAAGAATATATATATCACTGCTACTTTGCAATATTTCGGTGTTTACGCTGTGGTGTTTGTGTTTTTGCCTAATAGCCTTTTGTAATAGCTACAAACAGTTTCCGATCAGCATCTAGCTTCGGCATGTCAGAAACATGATTACATCATGGAGCGGTGTAAACTGTAGGTGTAAAACATGCTGCTAATTTCCTCATTCTTCACATTCTCAATGTGCTATGTACAGCTAGTTTACTTTTTGGATTTTAATCTCTGTTCTGTATTAAGCACTATATATTAATACTTTCATTTATTATTCTCTGTTATTTTTTCACATGTACTGGATATTGATCTCATAAATTGTGCTTATCTCAAATCTCACCGTGCATTATAATATAATATACTCTGTTATTCTTTTTGAGTTTTTGTTTTCGTCTTGCGTCAAGTACATAGTAATTTCAAACTACGATCTGACAAACAACTCAAACCCTAGAATGCAACTGTGTTATTGTACAATTTTGTTTTTCCCTGAATCATGTACTATGTAAATACTATGTAAATACCCTGATTCTTGTTTATCTCACGAACTGTTTCTAAACTCAAAATCTCACTGTGTTATTATATAGTCATAATATAGTCACTTTTATCCTTTTATTTAGTTGTAGTTTTCCTTTACAAAAGTACCATGTAACACTCGCTACTGACGTGCTAACATGGTTACTCACTTACAGATATGTCTTATCTCATCCACCAGTATTACCCATTGCAGATTATAGTCACATTATGTAAAAATCTATTTTGTATTTTTTCTAAACTTTTGTAAAATTGTTAACTTGTTAAACTATTTTTTTTAAACAGGTTTAGTCTTTTTTGCCATCAATAACAAAAAGGGTTCATGTAGTGATATTCTGTTAATTTTATCATTTCAGAAGACACTGCCTACTGGGTATGAATATCACCTATGTTCGTACAAAGATGCTGCAGGAGGTGGATACATTGCCGATATTCGAGTTGCAGTCAGCACTGTGTCCGGAACTGAGCAGTGGGATAACTGACTACACGGCACAAAGCAAAGTGACCATTAGACTGAGTGGTACCAAGCCAATCTGGGAGGGTGAACCTGTTCTGCAAGTACTATAGATGTCATCATAACACGAACCCTCGATCGTCCACAGCTGATGAAAGAATTGGGAAGCAGAACACGGACTGTCCTGCTCAAGTCTCAGTTAGATTGAGAAGATATGTGGAAAAAAGCAGGTTAGTTCTTTTTCGCTC